CACAAAAATAAGCAACTCAGCGAAGGGTTACACAAGAAGAGGCAAAGGGCAGGAGGATGGGGAGGAACATGCCTCATGTTTCAGGCGTCCGCTCTGTGCTGGTTTCAGGCATCGCCTGCAAACCCCCATCCTGTGAGTAATCCTCCCCCATGTGAATGGATTGCACTGATTTCAGTGGGACCACTTGGATGAGAGAGGGAAAAAAAAGAAGAGGGAAAAAAAGAGAAAAAAAGCCTTCATGATGAGTAAGATTTACAGAATCAGGCTCTTGGAGGGCGGGCTGCAGAGCACAGAGCTCTCTTTTGGACACCACATAAATAAATAGCGATGCTGCTGCTTCCTTCCCTCATGAGGTAATGCCTCGGCACAGCTTGTCCAAAGCTGCCGTGGTTATTTTTACAGCCGTATCTGTCTGGGGTTGTCTACTCTCCCCAGGCCGGGCTGCTGCGAGGGCTCTGCAGCACGGATGTTAGTTGTGTCCCCATGGGCATGCGTGATGTGCCCAAGGTTACAGAGTAGACAAGTGTTGGAGGAGCTTGGAGTCACCAGCCCTTGGTCCAGGGCATCACCGGGATAAACCCCTGGCTGATGGCTCCCAGCTCCCTCCGACACGCCGCGGGATAAATCCTCGCTGGGTGTAGGGATGTGTTTTCTGCCACTGGTCCCCAACGATTTCCTGCAGCACAGGACACTGCGAACCCAGGACGACTGCCTTGGGCAGCAGCACTCCGACTCCGTGAACACCTGACCCCATTTTGACTTTTCTATCTTCCAGAAAACTCTCCAAATCAGCAGCAGCTCAACCCTCCTGGCGCGGGGAGGCAGGAGGGGGTCTAAGCAGCGTCTGCAGATGTACATTTGCCGTCCCTGTCCCAGAGGAACTGAACTAGTGCCAACAATTAGGAGCAATTAAAGGCAATTTGCAGTTCCCTGGCCAGTGCAAGCACTTGCAGCCAGCAATTACAGGCCCTTCTCCTTCCCCAGCCACAGAGTAGCTGAGCTGCTGGCGGTTAATGCTGATTTTCCCAGTACAGTTCAAATTCCTTTGGGTTGTAACCCCAAACTGAGGAAAGATTGCACGAGAATCGCAGTGGGGGTGTGACTGGTGCGAACACCCCTTTGGCATCCTCACTGCCTTGTTGATAGGGTCGGTTTGATTCACAAAACCTGTTTTCACGTCCAGATTTCCTCAGGTGCAAGCGCTTGTCCGTCACCCAGCACGGTGCAGAGCACCAGCAGTCCCCTGCGCTGAGCAGAGCGGAGACCACGAGGCACCAGAGCTGAGAAAACCTCACTGAGCATGAAAGGAGGGTGCCATGGCCACCACGGCAGAGAATAAAGGGGAGAACAGCTGATTTCTCCTCTGTATCTTCACGTCTTGCTTGAAAGAATCACTCCATAGAGGTGGATGCAATGGTGTGGCTGGGAGAGGGGCAAACAGGAATGACTTTGGTGCAAGAAAATGGTGTCTGTAGTCTGTGTTAGTTCCCGCAGCATCAGGAGGAAGGAAAATAACTGTTGCGATTTAATTCTTTCAGAAAGTCTTTAAGAGAAATCTTTCATGAATATCTGGCAGAGATGACCAGGAATTGCTGGTGAAAAATGAAGTTCTTTTGTGCTTAGAAACCTGGCCATGGAGGAGAAAACAAAGAGCAGGAGTACATGGTGAGGTTGTAATGGGGAATGAGGGAAGCAACGGGGGTGCCTCTGCCCACAAAATCGTTTTTTCTTGTATAGTAACCACGACCTGGAAAGCAGGGAGCTAACAGCATTTCTAAGTGACCACCTTCAGCTTGACTAGTCCAGACGTGAGGAGACAACATAGGTCTTCTGCAAGACTGACCCAAACTGGCCGAATGGGTGAGGGGATAGCAGGCAAAAACCAGTGCGCAGAAGGAGGCGTAATTGGAAGGAGGGAACAGGATGGCTCATACATGCTGAAGGGTCCCAATTAACTGCAACCACTCCAGGAAAAGATCTAGGAGTCAATGAAACATCTGGCTGATTGCAACGGAGCTCAGAAGAGCAACAAGATAGTGGGTTGTATTATGAAAGGGGTAGAGAGTAACACTGAATATAATATCATGACACTATAGAAATCAATAGTACGTCCTCAGCTGGGAAACCGGAGTGAAAGGCATGGAGAGACACCCATCCGAGGGCGGTGGAAAAGATTAGAAATGCCTTGCCAAGAGACGGTGGAGGGCTGCCAAGTAATGCGCAGCGCCCAGAAGGTCAGACAGGTGCTCCTCTTCACTGGTCCTTAAAATACAGGAACAAAGGGACATTCAATGCATTTAAAAGGCAACCTTTTTCAGTGATAAAAGGAAATGCTTCTTTGCACCGCACGTAATTAACTCGTAGAACTCATGCTACGAGACACCATGGCAAAGGCCCAACAGGATTAGATGGGCCTATGAATGAGAACATCTGTAGTTACATTAGCTGGGATTAATATATATACGGATATAAGCACTCCAAGCCAGCTACTAACTGCCTGTAGTTAGGAAAAGATTTCCCCTGGGGGCACGCTATTGCAAAACTGTCTGTCGTAGAGTTTTATATCTCTGTCTGAAGCTTCCAAGACAAGCCACTATTATATGCACAAATCTGCTGAGGCAGAGCATCATCCGCTCGAGCACAAGCAACAACGCATTTCTGTGCTTCAGCTGAGATTGGGCTGGTTTGGGACGAAAAACACCTGAAAGCAAATCTTAGGACTGTGCATGAAAGGATTCAAAATGCCCTGGAAAAGTGGTTGAACGTGCTGGGATGTCTCTGGCCCACTGCAGGTCGGCAAATAGCATGACAAAAACGCAAATATTTTTCCACCCCTGAATTTCAGTAGGAGGTATTCCCGGCTGCTAATCTTCCCCCACACGTGTGTGCTGAAAGGTAAACAGAAGGATGAATCTCCAGGCTTAGCTCTCTTCAAGTGTGACGTCTTTTCAGCAGGCACCTGAAAAGACCTGCATTTTTTGAGAATTAACATCTTCCTGTTGTCGGGGAAGCTGTTTCCTTGGGACGTTTTCAGGACGATGAAAAAGCCAGTTGACTGAACAACA